CCAAAAAAAAAAAAAAAAAAAGAAATCCAAACAAAGGGCCAGGTTGGGGGCGGGGGAGGCTTCACGCCTGTCATTCCAGCACTTTGGAAGGCCAAGGTGAGAGGATGTCCTGAGTCCAGGGATTCGAGACCAGCCTGGGTAACATGGCGAGACCTCATCTCTACAGTAAATAAAAATATTAGCCAGGTGTGGTGGCATACACCTGTGGTTCCAGCTACTTGAGAGGCTGAGGCAGGAGGATCACCTGAGCCTAGCAGGTTGAGGCTGCGGTGGCCGTGAGCATGCCACTGCCCTCCTGCCTGGGTGACAGAGTGATCCTCCAAGTCAAAAATAAAAAGTAAAAATAAAAGAATGGAGTTTAGTTGATAGTAATTACCTTTTTTTTTTTTTTTTTTTTTTAGTTAGAGTCTCACGCTGTTACCCAGGCTGGAGTGCAGTGGCATACTCACAGCCACCCCAGTGTCGACCTGGTGGGCTCCAGCGATTCTTACTCCTCAGCCTTCCAAGTAGCTGGAACTACAGGTGAGTGCTACCACGCTCAGTTAATTTTTTATTTATTATAAAGACGAGGTATCACCAAGTTGCCTGGGCAGGTCTCAAACCCACAGACTCAGGCAATCCCTTGCCTCAGCCTCTCAAATTTCTGGGATTACAGGCTGAGCCACTGAGTCTGGCCATATATATATATTTAGAGTCAGGGTCTTGCTATGTTGCCCAGGCTGGAGTGCAGTGGCACCATCACAGCTTACTGCAGCCTTGAGCTGCTGGGTCAAGTAATACTCTTTCCTCAGCCTCCTAAGTAGCTGAGATTGCAGGCCCATGCCACCTTGCCCAGCTAATTTTTTAAGTTTTTATAGAGACGGGGTCTGGCTATGATGCCCAGGCTGGTCTTGAATTCCTGACCTCAAGCAATTCTTCTGCCTCAAGCTCCTGAGCAGCTGGGACTACAGGTGTGAGCCACTGTTCCCAGCCATAATTACTAATATTAATGACAGTTGTGACAAATGTCCTCTTTCTATGTAAGATGTTGACATGAAGGGAGGTGAGATGAAGACTGTATGCAAACTTCTCTGTACTACTTTTATAGCTTTTCCATACACCTAAAATTAGTCTAAAATTTAAAGTTTTAGAAATAGAAATAATGAGCCAGGTGTGGTGGCTCACACCTGCCATCTCAGTGCTTTGGGAGGCCAAGACAGGAGGATCGCTTAAGGCCAGGAGTTTGAGACCAGGCTGGGCAACAAACAAGACCCTGTCTCTACAAATACAAATAAAAAACAAAAAGGACAGTTTGAATCTCAGGGGAAAGCAGAGCCTCTTTTAAAGAAAATAGAATTCGTGACCTGCCTGGGCAACTTGGCGAGACCTCATCTCTACAATAAATCAAAAACTAGCCGGGCGTGGTAGCGCATGCCTGTAGTTCCAGCTACTTGGAAGACTGAGGCAGAAGGATTGCCGGAGCCCAGCAGGTCGAGGCTGCGGTGGCTGGGAGCGGCCACGGCACTCCAGTCTCGGTGACAGAGTGAGACTCCAACTCAAAAAAAAAAAAAAAAAAAAATAGAAATAAATGTCATCCCTGTCATTGGATAATTACTTACATCATTATTTATTCGAGCAGTTTTCATGTTAAATTTCACTTCCCAAAAAGTATCTTTTTATCAGTAGTAATCATCTAAATATGAGAAATTTGCTCATTAATTCTACTTCTGAGGTTTACACTAAAGAAGTAGGGAGAGATACACACAAAGGCATCTGTATAAGGAAAATGATTTCCATTATTTGTAAGAACTTTAACATTTATGTCCAACAATGAGGGATTAGTTAAATAAACTAAAGCAGAGTCCTTTGGAAATTTGTACAAGAACCAAGTATGCTGTTTTTGAAAAATGTTTAAGGTTATGGGCGAATGTGCATGAGCTCATGATATATTAAGAGGAAAAAGTAACAGGGCTCGGTGGCTCAGCCTGTAATCCCGCACCTTGGGAGGCTGAGGTGAGTGAATTGCCTGAGTCCGCGGGTTCGAGACCCGCCCGGGCAACTTTGTGAGACCTCATCTCTACAATAAATCAAAAAATTAATTAGGTGTGGTAGTACGTGCCTGTAGTTCCAGCTACTTGGAAGGCTGAGGCGGAAGGATTGCCAGAGCCCAGCAGGTCGAGGCTGTGGTGGCCGGGAGTGGCCACTGCACTCCAGTCTGGGTGACAGAGTGAGACTCCAACTCAAAAAACAAAACAAGAGGAAAAAGTAGGTTTATAAAATATCATACTGGCCAGGCACAGTGGCTCATGTGTAATCCCAACGCTTTGGGAGGCCAAGGCAGGAAGATCACTAGAGACCAGGAGTTTGAGACTAGCCTGGGCAACAGTGAGACTTCATGCCTACAAAAAATAAACAAATTGGCCAGGCACGAGGGTTGCTCCTGTCATCACAACTACTCGGGAAGCTGAGGTGGAAGGATCGCCTGAGCCCAGGAGGCTAAGCATGAGCTGTGAAGGTGCCATTGCACTCCAACCTGGGCTTCGGAATGAGACCCCGACGCAAAAAAAAAATTATTCATGTGTGGTTTAATCCCAATTTTGTCTTAGAGATACGCACTTGCACCCATGCACATATCACATAAAGTAAAATTGTATAAATATTAACAGTGGCTATCTTTGTAGTTATTTCTTTATCATTTACTGTGTGTTCCAAACTTTTGCTTATAATGATGATTTTTTTTTATAGTGGATTCTGAAATCAGTCAATATTTCTCTAATATTTCAAACTCTAATATATTAGAAATATATTTTTAGTATTTCTCTAATATTTCAATAAAAATATAATTCAAGCCACATTTGCTTTAAAATTTTTAATGGTCACATGGAAATTAATTTTATTTAAACCAATATGCCTACAAGTTATCACTTCAACATATAATCAATGTAAAAGTTATTATTGAGATAGTTTATATTATTATATAAAGTCTTTGAAATCCAGTGTGTGGGACAGCCACATTTCAGGGGTTCAAGGGACACATCTGCCTGGTGGCTCCATACTGGACAGCCAGTGTATATGCACCAATATTATTAACAACCTCCAATTTCTAATGTAATAAGATAATTAATAGATACAATTATTTGTTGCTTACTGTGTGCTAAGCACTATGCCTGGTGTTTTGTGGTTCTTATCTTATGAGGAAGATTAAAGAAATGAGACTTAGACCAATGACATAACATGACCAAGGTCACTCAGCTCTGAAGAAACTCAACTGGGACTTGAATACAGATTTCCTGTTCACCTTAGCATTGGTTACTAAGCTCTTACCCACAGTGTTATTGTGTGCCTCCATTCATAAAACTATGAAACAGTAGGGTTAAGATTAACATAATGGAATAAGATGGTGGAATATATATATTTTTGGATGCCTATGGCGTATTTACCAAAATAATTCATAAAACAAATCTCAGTAAATTTGAAAGGATTCACATCATACTAATGGATTCAATTAGAAAAAAAATAACAGAATACTATCTGGGAACCCCTCAAATATCTGGAAACCAATAACACACTTCCAAATAGCCCATGGATCAAAGAAGAAGTCAAAAGTCAAATGTGAAAGTATTTTGGACTGAATATAAATGAAAACACAAAATGTGTGGGATGTAGGTAAAGCAATGCTTTGAGGGAAATGTATAGCACTAAAATGACTCCATTTTAAAAGATGAAGGTTAAGATTGCTGTAAGCCCTGATCATGCCACTGCACTCCAGCCTGAGTGAAATAGTGAGACCCCGACTCAAAAATAATAAGAAAAATTTAAAATGAAAGAGATGAAAGGTTCATATCTTAGGGTCAAAAAGAACAATCAGGATCACCTAATCCAACTATGACGTGTGATGCCTCTTACCGCACCCTCTCAAGTGGTTGTGTCCCCCTGTCTACACTCCAGTTTACTCCACCCCTGTACTGGGGAGTTCATCCCTACAGAAACAACCTACTCTGTCTTTGAATGTGTCAGCTTTTCTTTATAACCAGGGTGGGTGTTTGTTACCTTTGACGCTGATGCCGAATATACAGCCTTGTTGGCTTCGTCCACATGCAGGCTCCACATTGGAGGCTCGGTGGGGTCTTTTGAGCCTCCGTCCCAGATTGCATATTTCTCCTGGCCAGAGAGCAAGTCCCACCAGCGCAGTGTGTGGTCATTAGAAGCGGAGATAGCCAGGGTCCCTCTGGCCAGCACTCTCACACACCTCACCTCCCCTGCAGAAGACCAGGGTGGGGGAGCATGTTAGCTGGGAACATCTTGACCTCGCAGTTGCCAAACTGCCTGTCAGCTTGCACATACCCTGCTTTGCTGAAGAAAATATAGACAGATGTGAACATACCCAAGCTGAAAATAATAGAATGTGACATAACCGAATCGGTTTGGAGTCAGTCAATTGCACCAGATATTGAATTTGTAATAAACAGAGATAATAATTTAATAAAAGTTTGGCATCCAGGGAGTGTATAGAGTGAATAAGCATGTTTTAAAAATAAGGTAGGTTCTAGAAAAATTACAGGACTTCACTTATAGTTTTTATAATCTTGGATAAATATTTCCTAAGTAAAATATAACATTTGGAAAACGTAAAGGGGGGAAATGGACTACATAAAATCGCAAAACTTCAGGAGGATAAAACATAGTTGAAAAGCACATGACAGCCAGGCATTATGGCTCATGCCTATAAACCTAGCACTTTGGGAGGTGGAGACAAGAGAATTGCCTTAACTCAGGGGTTGGAGACCGGCCTGAGCAGCATGGTGCGACCTTGTCTTTACGATAAATCAAAAAATTAGCCGGTTGTGGTGACCCATGCCTGTGGTTCCAGCTGCTTGGAAGGCTAAGGTGGAAGGATCGCCTGAGCCCAGAGGGTCGAGACTGCGGTGGTTGTGAGCAGTGTGCCACTGACTTCCAGCCTGGGTGACAGAGAGAGTCCGACTCAAAAAAATAAAATAAAATAAGACTCAGCATGGTGGCTCACACCTGTCATCCCAGCACTCGAGACCAGCCTGGGCAACTTGGTGAGACCTCGTCTCTACAATAAATCAAAAAGTTAACTGGACGTGGTGGTGTGTGCCTGTGGTTCCAGCTACTTGGAAGGCTGAGGCGGGAGAATCACCTGAGCCCAGTGGGTCGAGGCCGTGGTGGCCGTGAGTGTGCCCCTGCCCTCCAGCCTGGGTGACAGAGTGACTCTGACAAAAAAAAAAAAAAAGAAAAAAGAAAAAGAACAGAAAAGCACATGACAGAGTGGGAGAAAGTATTTTCAACACATAACAGACAAATGGAGACTCTTCTCCATAAACAAAAACTCTTACAAACAAACAAGAAAAATGCAAATAACTTACTTACTGGGACAAAGACTATAAATAGGAAATGTGTGGAAATGGTACAAGTAGAAAGGATAACAATTGTTGGCTGTGCTTGATGGCTCAGCCTGTCATCCCAGCACTTTGGGAGGCTGAGGTGAGTGGATTGCCTGAGCCCACGGGTTGGAGACCAGCCCGGGCAACTTGGTGAGATCTCGTCTCTACAATTAAAAAAAAAAAAAATTAGCCGGCTGTGGCAGTATGCACCTGTAGTTCCGGCTACTTGTAAGGTGGAGGCAAAAGGATTGCCAGAGCCCAGCAGGTGGGCTCTGGGGTGGCTGTGAGTATGCCACTGCACTCCAGCCTGGGTGACAGAGTGAGACTCCAACTCAAAAAAAAAGTATAAGAATTGTTTAACCAAGTCTGGAACATGACTGTTGGGGTTTGAGTGCTTGTGTCCCCCCAAATTTGTATGTTGAGACCTAATCTCCCATGTGATGGCGTCAGGAGGTGGAGGCTTGGGAGGCAATGAGGCCAAGAGGGTGGAGCCCTGGGAGTGGGATTAGTGCCCTTGTAAAGGTGGCACCAGAGGGCCTCGCTCCTTCCCCCACAAGGACAAGCAAGAAGGTGGATGTACAGAAAGCAGTGAACAACTTGGGTTGCAATCATAAAGTGTTCTTCACATCTTTACTGAGATAAGTTCAAAAGTGTCCAACCCACCCATTCAATGTACAATTTTGCAATTCATTGGTTTTTGGAATGTTCCGGGTCATATAACCACTGCCACAGACTAAGTTTGGAATATTTCATAACCTCGAAAAACAGCCACTCTTTTTTCTTCATCACTAGAACCATTTTAAAGTGATAACTCAGTAGCATTTTGTGAACTCGCAATGTTTCACAATCACCACCTCCATCTTGTTCCAGAACATTCTCATCCCCCAAAAGGAGACCCCTGTCCCATCAGCAGTCCCTCCCCATACCCTCTCCCAGCCCTTCACATCCAGAAAACTGCTTCTTGATTCTGTGAATTAGCTTGCTCTGGATATTTCTTTTCTTTTCTTTTTTTTTTTTTTGAGTTGGAGTCTCTCACTCTGTCGCCCAGACTGGAGTGCAGTGGCTGCTCCCGGCCACCGCAACCTCAACCTGCCGGGCTCCAGCGATCCTTCCGCCTCAGCCTTCCAAGTAACCAGAACTATAGGCGCGCTCTACCACGACTGGCTAATTTTTTTGATTTATTGTAGAGATGAGGTCTCACCAAGTTGCCCAGGCAGGTCTCGAACCCGCAGGCTCAGGCAATCCACTCACCTCAGCCTCCCAAAGTGCTGGGATTACAGACTGAGCCACCGAGCCTGGCTACTCTGGATATTTCTATCAGTGGAGTCACACACAGTGTGGCCTTTGGTGTTTGTGGTGATTGCTTTTTTTTTTTTTTTTTTTTTGAGTCAGGGTTTCACTCTGTTTCCCAGGCTGGCATGTAGTGGCACAATCATAGCTCACCACAGCCTCCAACTCCTGGGCTTGAGCGATCCTCCTGCCTCAGCTTCCCAAGTAGCTGGGACAACAGGCACACGCCACCATACCCAGCTAGTTTTCATATTTTTTTTTACAGGGAAGGGACACTCACTATGCTGCCCAAGCTGATCTTGAACTCTGGGCTCAAGCTGTCCTCCTGTCCTGGCCTCCCAAGTGCTGGGATGAGAGGTGTGAGTTAGTGCGCCCAGCCTGCTTCTCGTATTTGATGTAAACTCAGGAGCTGCAGCCTCATTCATGACTTTTTGGCTATGCTGTGGGTCAACGACCTCCCTCCCCTCTCGGAACGTTTGCGCTGGCTGCTTTCTGTGCCTGTGAGGCGCTGTCCTCTCCCTGCCCTTCCTTCACATCTGCAGATCTCAAAAGCCACAGGCACTTAAGTCCCTGATTACAATGGTGTGGTATTTGCATAAAGCTACACACATCTGCCTGTATGCTTTACCTCGCTTCTAGATAAGTGTTGGGGAGGTGGCTTTGATGCTGTATTTTTTAGGGAATAATGACAAGAAAAAACATCCATACTCGTTCAGTACAGACACAACCATCCATTTTTCCCCCAAATATTTCTGATTGCTGGTTGGTTGAATCTATGAGTGTGAAACCCACAGATGTGAACAGCCAACGGTACCTTGGATTTCCAACATTGCATTAAAATATTATCTAATTATTAGTATATAGTATATTTATTAGGAATATTAATATTATTAATTATTAATATTATTAATTATTTGAATGTGTTATATTTAATAGGAATTTAATTCAACTTATCCACCCCATCCATTTTTAATGAAATGAAAGGGCTGGATTAGATTCTGAAGCTGATGTTCTGTGGCTTGATCCTGTTAAAGTTTGTTTTTAAGCAAATAGGATATTGGAACTTTATTCAACAAATAAGCATGGAGTATGTTGATTAAGACATAGCCCTTGGCCAGGCTCGGTGGCTCAGCCTGTAATCCCAGCGCTTTGGGAGGCTGAGGTGAGTGGATTGCCTGAGCCCGCAGGTTTGAGACCCGTCTGGGCAGGCGAGACCTCATCTCTACAATAAATCAAAAATGAGCCGGGCGTGATAGCATGCGTCTGTAGTTCCGGCTACTTGGAAGGCTGAGGCGGAAGGATCGCCAGAGCCCAGCAGGTCGAGGCTGCGGTGGCCGGGAGCGTGCCACTGCACCCCAGTCTGGGCGACAGAGTGAGACTCCAACTCAAAAAAAAAAGACATAGTTCTTGCCGTGCGGTGGCTCATGCCTATAATCCCAGCACTTTGGGAGGCCAAGGTGGGAGGATTGCTTGAGCCCAGGAGTTTGAGACCAGGCTGGGCAACATAGTGAGACTTCGTCTCTATAAAAATAAAAAAAAATTAGCCATGTGGTGCATGCCTGACTGAAGCAGAAGGATTGCCCCAACTCAAGAGGTCAAGGCTGCTGTGAGCTGTGATTGTGCCACTGCACTCCAGCCTGGGTGACAGAGTGAGACTCAGACTCAGAAAGAAAACAAAACAGTCATACTCTAAGAACAGTAATGGGGACTTAGGTCAATAAATAACTGCAAATCTTAAGGTGGTCCTGTGTACTATATAGCTACGGATAGCACGAGGGTCCCAGGTATCAACTCTGCCTTGGGAATCATTGCTACCAAACGGAAAACACTTGCGATGAGACTTTAAGGATGAAGAGGTTGCCATCCTAGTCCTGGCCCTGGTCTATTTCTCTTCAGCACCTAGAATACAGCCTGGTATACAATAGGCACTCAATAATTAATTAAATAAATAAACTCTAGCTGTTGAGACGTTATGCAAAAATGTAAAACCTTACTTAGGATCCAAGGCAGACAAATTGCAAGATGGACCACAATTTCTTTTTGTTGTTGTTGTTGTTTGTTTTTTTGTTTTTTTGAGTTGGAGTCTTACTCCCTCGTCCAGGCTGGAGGGCAGTGGCACACTCACAGCCCCCCCAGCATTGACCTGCTGAACTCCAGTGATCCTTTCACCTCAGCCTTCCAAGTAGCTGGAACTACAGGTGTGTGCTGCCACACCCGGCTAATTTTTTTTTAATTGTAGAGACACGATGTCACCAAGTTGCCCGGGCTGGTCTTGAACCCACGGACGCTGGCAATCCACTAGCCTCGGCCTCCCAGAAGTGCTGGGATTACAGGCTTAGCCACCAAGACCGACCCACAGTTTCTTTCTAATAGAGACAGAGTCTTTCTGTGTTGTCCAGGCTGGAGTGCAGTGGTGTGATCATAGCTCACTGCAGCTCTGACCTCCAGGGCTTAAGTAATGCTCCCAACTCAGCTACCTGAGTAAACAGGGACGACAGGAGCTACCATGCCTGGCTCATTGAAAAAACAATTTTTGGGTAGAGACAAGGTTCTGCTATGTTGTCCAGTCTGGTCTCAAACTCCTGGCCTCAAATGATCCTCCCGCCTCAGTCTCCCAAAGTGCAGGGATTGCAGCATGAGCCATCGCTTCTGGCCAAAGTCACGATTTCAATTCAGAGAAAGGTTCTGGGGATGGACTGTTCCCTCTGGAACACTAGGAAGACATTGACTTTACACCTGATTCCCAAGTCTCACCTGTGTGACCGGTTAGAAAATGGATCACTTGCTGGTCTTCCACATCCCACACGGCCACGAGGCCATCCTGGGTGCCGACCACCAGCAGCATCTCCTCCGGGACCCATGCCATGGCAGTGATGCCTGCAGACACGCAGAGACAGCAGCAGTGACACCAGATCCCATGTCCAAGTGCTCAGCCTGGGGTCCTCTCATGAGCCCACTTAACAGATCAGACAGCTGAGTCCCTGGGCCAAAGACACATGGCTAGGATTTTGTGGCCAGCTCAGTCAGACTCTGGGCCGTGACATCCATGTGGCAGGAAAAGGGACTGAACCATGGCTTGGTCATAAATGTCTGCCTGTTCCAGCTGTCCTCGCATGGGGTGATTCTGCCCCCAGGGGACACACATCAGAATCTAGAGGCCTTCTGGGGTGCCATCGGGTGGGTGGAGGCCAGGGGTGCCGCTCAGCATCCCACAGCACACTGGATGCTCCAACAGAGAGTGACCCAGCCTCACATGTCAGCCGGGCCATGGTGGGGAAACCCTGTTCTGGTTGGATAAGACTGAAACACTGAATTATACTGGCTGAGTATGAGGACCCTTTGACTTCAACCTGTGTGAAAAAATAAAGATCTTTTTTCGGAGTGGGAGTCTCACTCGGTCACCCAGCCTGGAGTGCGGGGGCACGCTCACAGCCACGCAGCCTCCACCTACTGGGCTCAGGCAATCCTTCCACCTCAGCCCTCCAAGGAGCTGGAACAACAGCCGCGTGCCACCATGCTCGGCGAATTTTTTGATTTATTGTAGAGACGAGGTCTTGCCCAGTGGTCCAGGCTGGTCTCAAACCCGTGGACTCAGGCAATCCTCTCGCCTGCACCTCCGAAAATGCTGGGATGATGGGCATGAGCCACCGCGCCCAGCTCACTCCCTCAGACTTTCTGAATGTCCTCGAGCAAGAAAAGGAAGTCCTTTTCGCTGCTCTGTGCCTCAGTTTTCTCATATGTCAAATGGTTAGTGGGATGTTGTTAAACCAGCAGGTCCAGCTCTGAGAATCCAGAGTTTTGTTTCTTCATTGGGGCAGAGAGTGGGGACATGGAATTTGTGCTCTTTTCTTTGTCTCTCTTTTTTTTCTTATCACACACTCAATGTCTGATCTTGGAAATGTTAACTTAAACTTTTCATTTTAAAAGTGAAGGCCAGGGCCATTGCTTTAGTAAACTCTGGTGTGGCATGTTGCTCTTTGAGCTATGGCCAGGCCATGTCTCCTAGCTTTAACCCCTCCTCTACCTTGGGGAAGTGAATCTCCTCTTCTTCTCTCTTCCTCTCTCCAATTTACTTTCTAAGTAAACTATATTTTTCAAGCTAAAAATAAAAATTTTAAAAAAAGAAGACCAGACGTGGTGGTTCAGCCTGTAATTCTAGCACTTTGGGAGGTCAAGATGAGTGGATTGCCTGAGCGCACGGGCTCAAGACCAGCCTGGGCAACTTGGTGAGGCTTCATCTCTACAATAAATAAAAAAACTAGCTGGGTGTGGTAGCGCATACCTGTAGTTTTGGCTACTTGGAAGGCTGAGGTGGAAGGATCGCTGGAGCCCAGTGGGTTGATGCTGGGGTGGCTATGGGTGTGCCACTGCACTCCAACCAGGGCGACAGAGTGAGACTCCAACTCAAAAAAAAAAAAAAAAAGAAGGAAAGAAGAAAAAAGAATAAACTGCTGGGCACAGTGGCTCATTGCTGTAATCCCAGCACTTTGGGAGGCTGAGATGGGAGGATCACTTGAGCCCAAGAGTTCAACACCACCCTGGCCAACATAGCGAGACCTTGTCTCTACAGAAAATTTTAAAAATAACTGAGAGTAGTGGCACATGCCTGTAGTCCCAGCTACTTGGGAGGCTGAGATGGAAGAATTGCTTGAGCCCAGGAGGTTGAGGCCATGGCGAGCTGCAATCACGCCATTGCATTCCAGCCTGGACCACAGAGTGAGACCCTGACTCAAAAAATAAATTAATTAAATTAAATTAAAAATAAAATAAATAAAATGCCATGTGTGTTGGTTCACGCCTATAATCCCAGCAACTTAGAAGGCTGAGGCAGCTGGCCAACATAGTAAGACTCTGTCTCCTAAAAAAGTAGCTTGGTGTGGTAATTCCAGCAACTCAGGAAGCTGAGGCAGGAGGATCACTGGAGCCCAGGAGTTTGAGGCTGCAGTGAGCTGTGCTTGTGCCAGTGCACTCCAGCCTGGGCAACAGAGCAACACCTTGGCTCTAAATAAATAACTAAGAACAAACTGAAGCCTAGTCAAGGTAGGAACTTCCTCAACTGGAACATGACTAGAGAATGTACAACAAGGCACAGGGGGTCTGAACCACAAAATGTTTCCCTCCCCCAGAGATGACAAAATCATCACTCCAACCTGTAACTTCCTATGGCTGTGCCGTGATAGACACCCATAGTTGACCACAGCACTATGTATGGTTTGTGCCTCGACAGTCACGCTATTATACTACCTTTAGGTAAACAATAACAACAACAACCCCCAGAGTCCACAGGTTTTAGCTGAGTGCAGTTACCTGCACAAAGATTGTTCCCAGGTTGTGGGTGGGAGGATAGTGGGGTGGGTGAGCAGAGGTGGATGACCGGATATGTGGATAGGCTGGCTGGAGGGGTGGGTGGATGGATGGA